CTAGGGGCGGGACCAAGAGGGGGGGGGGGGGGGGGGGGGGGTGTACTCATAGTCGTGCATGCCGTAGTCGTTTGACCATTGACCTCGCATCCCTACAAAGCCGGGACGGAGCACGCCGGGTTCTCACCGGACCAGGCTCTCACATCACCAAGCGCGAAGCACCGTGAGGTATTTGGCGAGTCGCATGAAGGGTGAGCTGCATCCTGCTAAGGGTGTTCGGCATCTTGTGCTTACTTCGTTGCTTACGGATGACAGCTGCGTATGACTTAATTTATTTTCTGGTGCGTTCACTTCCAGAGACAGTTATAAGCACTGTGTAGCTGCCACGATGATGCTTGACCATTTTAACACAACGTGGTGCGATCATCCCCCTTGCGCGGAGTGAAGTTTCTCGACCCCGCACAACTAATGTACTCTACCACCATTATGGTTACCGCCAAAAAAAAAAACAGAGGTTAAAAAAAAAAAACGGTAACCTGGTTGCCGAGTTCACGAAGTGAATTGGCTTGTTTTACAACGTCGTTGCCAAGCGACGAAACCCAATCCGGATGGCAAACACCGAGGGGGGGGCTTGTTTTACAACGTCGTTGCCAAGCGACGAAAACTCAACCCTGATGGCAAACACCGGGGGGGGCGGCTTGTTCTACAACGTCGTTGCCAAGCGACGAAAACCCAAACCCGTACCCTCCCCGACACGTGCGTTGGGCCAAGCAAACCACGCGTGGCTCGAGGGGGGGGTGCGGGGGGTGATGTCTGGGCATACCGTAGTCGTTCGACCGTTAACCACGCGTCCTCGAGAAGACGGAGGCGGAGGGTGGGGTCCATGTAGACGCACGCATTAATCGTTATGGACCATTGACTTCGCGTCCCTAAGATCCCGGGACGGAGCTGCGATATGCCGGGTTTTCGCCGGCCCAGGCTACGTTTCACAAGCAATAGTGATGAATCATTCTTGCGTTTTCTTGAGTATAAAAAAAAAGCGGAAGAGAGCGAGCCGGCAGAAGGGTTCATTCGGGTGGGGGAAAAAAAAAAACCGACAAAAAATGGCCATGCACGTGTACCAGTAACGGTTTGGACGGGAATCGCCCAGGACCCCGGATATTCGTCCACACCGCAGTACATTCAATTCAAACAAACTGCCGTGCTCAGCACTCCATACAGTCGGCGCCTTTTCTATCCTGAAACGTTCGTATTATTTTTTTTCATGTATGCTACACACGGCGGTCGGTTATGATACACGGAGCCTGCCTATTTGGGATTAGTTGTGTTGTGTAGTGTGTGGTCTGCAGATGATTTGGGAGTTACAACGGAGTTCCCTGTCCGTGCATTGGGTCTCTCATGGTTATCACCTCTGCTCGGGCCCCGTGCATGTCAACACGACTGATGCCCTAACATATGAAAGCGTATCTCCACAGGGATCAGTTGCTAGGGTGTTAAACATCTCGTACTCACCCCACCTAAAAAAAAATTGATGGGAAGCACGTCATATACATGTACATCTATCTCCACACGGATCGGCTGCTATTAATAGAGCGTAATAGTCTGGTGACCCAACGAAAGCACGAACATTGATAAATCGTGTTCGTGTATTCCGTGGGCAACAACACGGCAACGCCCTCTATGTAGCAGCCGATCCGTGTGGACTTGTTCACATACATGTGCCGTGCTTTAATAAAACCTTTAGGGCCATCAGTTCGTGTTGACGTGCACGGAGACTGAGCAGAGATGAGCCATGAGAGCCCCAACGCACAGAAAAGGGAAATCCGTCGCAACTTCCAAATCATCTGCAGACCACACACACACCAGTCCCCAGAGGCAGGCTCCGTGTATCACAACCAACCACCGTGTACACCACACACACACGCGTCATACAAGCAGCCAGCCCCCCCCCCCCCCCCTGGTTCCAGGGCCGGGCACACTGGTGCGCCAAAAAGGGGGGGGGGGAAATCTATTCAAACCAACATCCGAAAAAAAAAAATTGGTTGGAAAATCCCCCCCCTTTAAAACTGTTTCCCAAGTTTCCCAACAAGGTCCCCAACGGGTTTCCCAACGGTTTTCCCAACCCGGTTCCCCGGACGTTTCCCAACAAGGTTCCCGGCGGGTTTCCCAATCCTTTGGGTTTGGACCAAGCAAAAAGGCGGAAGGGGCGCGGGGAAATCCTCCCCCGCGTTTGCCCCCCACTCTCCGAATGTGGGCCTTAATAAAAGAAAAAAAAAAAAAAAAGGGGGGGGGGGGGGGGGACAAAAAA